CTTTTGTCCGAGAAAGGGGTGGGTATACCCACTTTTGTCCATTTCCCTTTTTTGAAACAGCAATGAAAATGCTCAATGAGACACCAAGATAGGCACAAGCCTTATCCAGTTCATCCATAAGCGTACGTGACACCCAAGTTTTTTTCAGGAAGTCAGGGCTCGCGTACACATACACAGGACGCCACGGGCCACGGCGCGAGCCCCGTGAAGTGTGTAGTGAAGCGGAAACTTTGAAACCGAACCGGTTTTCCCCAACAGGTACCGTTTCTGCCGCAGCCTCGCAAGGCAATGTTCATGTCCTCTTATGGGATCCTTTGCTTGCGCGGCGAGAGCGAGTGAGGGAGGGAGGGATACGGTAGTCGTCTCCTCAATAAGGATCGGGATATTACCCGATGACGATCCTCCGTTTGCACTTCCAAGTTACGGGACACAAGCAACCCATTTTAGCTGTTGGAGCTCATGGAGACCACCTTGCAACGGCCGAGCACGGGGCCGTTCGCTTGTGGTCGTTCGGGGCCTCAAGTGCGGCGGCGGGAGGCCCTTCTCTGGTGCAAGGGTTCCCGTGCTCTCGGCAACCGTTGCGGGCGCTGTTCATGCTCCCGGGGCGTGGTATTAGAGGTGACAGCTACTACGTGGTCGGAGTTTTCGAGGAGGACGGCGTGGTGCTGTTTGACGTGCGCGACGGCGGCGAGGTGCACCGCCATGTGCTCCTGCACCTTGGGAAGAAAAAGTGAGGGATTACTTGCACTCCTCTGCGTCTACTGAATCGAAATGCAATCATAGTTGGTGCAGCACGCACGGCGAGGATGCTGTTTTTCATACACAATGCACCTGTGCACTCCGTCTATATTGTAGACCACGTGTGTTACGTATTACCTCCCGTGGTGGCATGTGATTCCTTGTCAGTTTCTCGCGGCAAGTACAAGTACAGCTGTCAGTAGTTGGGGGAAGAGGCCACACTGTTGGCTGCCGCAACTCAAGCGTGCACATCGGTTGCTTCACGTTTTTCACCAGCTAAACGGTGAACACTCGCTAAATTCGTCAGATATACCAAGAGGGCGGTCACTAATCTAACCACGGTCTTCGTAAGGAATACAAGCAAGGAAGGGGCTGCAGGCGGGAGGGGTTCAACCTTTTGTCTACATATGATTGTTGCATAGGTGATTATATGTGATCATACAAGATCAACAGCCTTGGTTGGGGGATGGGCTTGCAGTTCCGTACTTTCTCGCGCACTGCACGCCATTCATACGTCGCCGAACGTCTCGCTGTGTCCCGGTGTGCCCCCACTCCCCAAAGAGAAAGCAAGATCCTGACAGCGGCATGGAACGCGGACACTTGCTCGCTGGCGATAGCGACCGCAGGTGGCGGTGTCAAGATTTACGGAATCTCGCCAACCCCCCCGTCGGAACTACCGAGTAGTATTGGTAGTGGCAGTGGCATCGGTAGTGGCAGCACCGCAAGGGGCGTCATCGTCGTCGTTCCAGGAGAGAAAGAGAGACAGCAGCATCCCGACTCCGGTACCGCTGCATCTGCTACGACCTCACCACCGACACGGCCAGTGACTGCGGTACTACGACACGAAATCGTCATCAATACCGTGTTGACGACCACGGGCGGCACCAGAAAGCGTGTAAGCAGGCAGGTGAGCTCGCTTGCGACATCATCCGACGGGGTTTCTTGGGAAGACTTCGGCGGCGAAGGCCGTGACAATGACTGCGGAGGGGTACGCAGCAGGGTGGCGGCCGTCGCGGGCGCCGGCATTCTTGTGGGAATTGCCGAGGGCCAGCACCTCTGCGTTTGGGACCTCGTGGCAGGCTCGACCCTCCTCACTGCCCTCTCCATAGCACCGAGGGGCTGCACCGTCGAGAAAGTGCTGTGGCACGGGCCGACGGCGCTGGTGGCGCTGCTGTATCACGACGGGATAGGGGTGTCGAGGGTCGACGTACACCAGGTCGACGTTGGGAGGAGGATCACGATACCGGTGCGTGGAATTTCATGCCTTTGTTCCAACGCGTCACGGTTGCAGGGTTAATAGATCGAGGTCAATTGTTGAAAACCCACGCGGACGTAGGTACTTTCCTGACGTCCAGCCATTCCTAGGAGGATCACGATGATGTCGTATCGGTTGCTATTTTCGTACAGAGAGATTATCAAGTGTGGCGAGCTGCAGCGTTGGATCCTTCTCTTTGTCGCTGTTCGAATTTATGTTCATTTCGACTCCAGCGCGGATCAGGGGCTGGATATCGTTCCTTTTGGAATTCCCAACAGTACCCTCTGCACCTCTGTTCAACTGTACGTCGATTGCTCCCGGCCAAACTGTGGCGCCGCCTGTTCCTTCGTTTCTAGCTTCTTTCCTACACGTCTGACGTGCTTATCGCCGGAGCTAGCTTTTCCGCGGGTCCATCAGATCGGGCGGCGAACGTCCAAGTTCCGCCAACGGGGACAACGCCATGGCACGACCACAACAACCTGTCTGATCCCGCAACTGCCATGGATTGCAGTTACGCTTCAACCTACTTGCATGTCGTTGACCGCCTGCGCACGCTACGCACGTGGCTCTTGCACCCCGGCGGGTCCACCGCTGTGGCAGCGTACACGCTCCCCGCCGCGGCGCCACGCGTCCCAAAGGAACCCGCACTTGCGCCTGAAACTCAGCGTACCGCTCAGCGACGACAGCTTCGCACCCGCGCCGGTGAAGGCGAGACTGATTCTGCGTCGCCGCCGGGGCCCGCAGTTGGGCCCGAGTCGTCCTTTTCCGACACCAAAGGGTCGTCGTTGTCATCCCCTCATGGCAGTGGCCGTGGAGGCGACGGTGCCCCCTACGATACTGGACAACAGAGATGCACAACTCAACCGGACCTGAGGCACAAGGGAAGGCCGGCTGAAAAACAAGCTGTCAACGGTGGCGATGATTTCGGGGAGGAGGGTGAGGAGGGGGAGGTCGAGCAGGAGGAGGCCGTAGACCCGCGAAAGTTGCCGTCAGGGGCTCTGATCGCAGCAGTAATCCCTAGTCGCTTGCGATGCCCAGACGTCGCCGCTGGTCCCGGACTGCTAGTCGCGGCCGGGGTTGCGCTGTCGGGCGTCAGCTTCCTACCTGAGGATCGAGAGGGTAGGCAGGACCAGAGCCCTATCCTCTGGGAGTCTGGCGAAGAAGAGGCGGGGGTGCGACATGGCAGCATTCAAGAGGGTGGGGGGAACGCGGGGGCACCATCGCGAGTGCTGGGAATGCGGAGCCTTGTGCCTCGGCGTGGAGCTCTGCAGGCGCTCGCTTTGGTGTGGGCCGAGCGGCCGTCGTTTCAGGTGCTGGACGTGAGCCGTGGCGGGCGGGCTGGAGTCGTTGAGGAGGTCTCGCTCGCTCGGAGACATCGGTACGGGTTTGTTTTTGGTGGAGAGAGGGCTTTTTAGTTGCCAAAAATGGGTCTTTGGTGTGGATTTCCGGGACACGGAGTCTTCACGGCCTTGTATTTTGGCAACCAACTTGTCGAATAACTCCTCTCCTTTTCTGGGGTTTGATGGAGCAGGCCACCATGACGGCCAAGAACGCGACGACTTGGACTGCTTACAGTGTAGAAGCCTTGACGGGGCTATTGCAGGGAGCACCTTGATCAGCATACAAATACCACGACGATACCACCCTTTTTTATATTGTAGATGGCCTCGGGTTATTGACCGTCGCGAGGGTCATATGAGTGAAGGCGTGGTCCTAAGTGGGGTTTCAGGCCCAGTTGGCATTAAGGCTCACATTTTTTTTTGTTCCTCACATATCGCCTAATCCACGAAAGACCCGTTTTCATTCTGAAAGTGATGCTCCTAGGACCTACATCGATTTTACTACCTTTTGTTGGAAAAGTAACTCCGTGGACATGGTTGAAATTTTGGCTGGGCGATACTAAAGCTTCTGCGGGCCAGACTCTCGTCATATTTATTGGCTGAATACCGATGTGTACCCCTTAATTCTGGAACGACTCTTTTTCTTTTCTCCGTCTGTTATTGTGTGATGTGTTTCACCCTACGTGTGCCTTACATCAATGGTAATAAAGGTGCATTCGCACCTCGACTCGTGAAGCAACCGATTCCGATGGCAAATAAGGCGCCTGAACACGGGTAGACTACCCGAGCAATTCACCATTAAAGCGTCTGTTGGAGTCTGTCTTCTAACCGTATGTTTCTGTTCTTCGCCGAAGGAGAAGCTCTGGTAAAGCTGTCAAATTGCACCACCGATGATAATCTGTTGATGGAGTGGGCGTTATCACCCGGTCAATATCCTCATGGTATGTATGGAGTATACGGTACAAATTGAGCGCTGATTTGAAGTGAATACAAAAAAAATGCAAAAACAAAAGTAAAAAATGGCAAGAAAAGAGCCCTAGCGAACTGGTTAGCACGAAAATGGTGCTTGTGGTTGCATTGGAGATCTCCTAAATGACGTTGTGGATCCGCTAAAAGACTTTATAACCCATTTTTCTCCCACTGTGCCAATGCTCGGCATCGGTGATGTCTTGACCTGCTTCGTCTTTTGTCAGACTTTCCGATATTGGTGACCGAGACTTCCCACCTGTTCAAATTCTTGTGTCGCTCGCTCCTACCCCAAACACCTATCCTATAAACCTTGCTCCTCCCGCGTGTTGCCCGGCGGCCTCAGGGAAGATCAAGTAGAGTCGGCTCCGCGAGTGGACCGCCCTTGCTTCATCACGTCGTGGTGTCACAGCACCACCCTGGGGGTCCTCCTCTGCGGGTGGAACGACGGCACGGTGGATGTCATGAACCCACGCACGGCGTCCGTGTCATTCCGACTCCGGCGGTCGCAGCAGCAACTCTTGCCGGCGAGGGGCGCGTGCGTCTCGACGACGGCCGTGGGGCTCATCCCCCTGTCCCTGCTCCTCCGGCACGCCGGCAACCAATTCATTTCGGAGGCTGAGTTATCTGGCGGCTCCTTACCGCACGACGATGCAGGCGGCGGCGGCGGCGGCGGCGGCCGCGGGGTTGTCGCGCTCGTTGGCAGCGCCGACGGTACCGTCGCCTTGTGGTCGGCGGGTCCCGCGTCGCGCCGACCGTGGCACGTCATTCTCGCACACACCGATGTGGTCGTTTCCATTCGGACGGCCATGGACGCCCCCCAGGACCCGCTCGAGCGGCTCGGCGGGGTGAAGGAGGCTGCTGCCGCCGATGGCCACGGTAGTGGCCCCGGAAACAGGGTCGGGGAATATTCCTTCTTTGTCGTGACCGCGGGCGCCAACCGGGAGGTGAAAGTTTGGGGCATCGACACCGCACGAAGGCAAGACATGTCCCCTCTCACCCTCGCGGGGTACACCGTTGTCGGCAGCGGCGGAGGCGGTAGTGGTGGTGGAGACGTCGGGCGCCTCACGGCTCTCGAGCTCCTGTCCGAGGGGCACATGGCGTGCGGTTTCGAGTCGGGCGCTGTGGAAGTCTGGACGATCCCGTTCGCCAGCCGCAGCGGGGTCCTCGCATCGACGCGAGAGGCCCTGCAGGCGTTTCCGCTTGCTCACGAGGCGAGGGTAACGTCGATCGTCGTGGCGCTTGGGATGGGCTTTCGTTCGCACAGCGGCGGCGGCGGCGGGGGGGTTAAGGCTGGGCGGGTGATCCTGACCACCTCGGCCGACCGCACCATGGTGCGCTGGGTGTCCATGGCCCCCGGCGACAACATAAGGCCGCTCCGTCGGTACTGCCTCTCCGTGGAGCCAGCCGCCGCCGTTCTCCTCCCTCCTCCCGTCGATGTCGAGCCCGCTCTCGGGACCGCTGGCCGACACGCCGGCGGTCCTTCCCCGCCCAGAAAGTTCGCAAAGGTCGACATCATGGTGGCCGGCTCGGCGGTGGCGGGGTCGACGGCGAGGGTGTCTTCGATTAGGACGCCAAACACGTTCCGGGTGGTGGCCGCGCTAGACGGCGTTGTCACCGTGCTCGAGTCCGCCACGGTCGAAGCTTTGATGGGGGAGGGCGGCAGCGGCGGTGGTGGCGGCAGACAATCCCAACACCTGTGTCCGGCGGTGACCAACGCGTTTCCGGGGAAACCTTTGATACCACGGCTCCCGTCTCGCTCCGTCGCGTACGGCGGATCGTCGTCATCGGAGACCACTGCAGCACGAGGAGATGTGGCTTACCGTTGGAGGGTGGGCGGCCTGAGGGGTCGCGAGGCCGGACGGTACCACGTCTTCAGCGGAATACAGGGGCCTCTGGTGGGATGGGAGGCTTCCGGTACGAGAAGAATGGCGCTGACCGCTGCCTCGCGAGATGCTTGGCTCTCGTTGCCCGGAGCGGATGGCGGTGGTGACTCGCACGACGACGGCGCACACCGGGCCTCCTCCCCAACGAGTGACCTGCGGCCAGAATCATCGAAGCGCGAGCGCAAGAAGACTTCGAGGAGGGGGGGCGCCGGAAAACGAATTCCAATGCGACGGGCACCGACACCCGCTAGATGCAGCATCAATAATCTCACGGTGTGCCCCCCGCCGGATCCCCGAGAAACAAGCATCAACAGCGACCGCGCCGGCCACGCTCACGATATCAGCGACAAGCCCCCGCCGCAATACGCATATCGGCAAGTCAGTGGAGGGAAAACGATAAAGATCGACCCCGAATTCGCCGCCGCCGCTGCCGCCGCCGCCGCCGCCCCGTGGGACCACCTGTTTCTCCAGCAACCGAGCACCGGGGACGGTGCCGTGCTGCCCCAATCGGTAGAAGGGAGCGGTGAGGTAGAGCCTGAGGGGCAGCACATCGCGGGCATTCACTCCCTGGAGCTGGTCGTGCCGAGGGCCGCCCGTCCCAGGGACAGGGACGAAGATTTCTCCGCCGTTGCGGGATCTTTGCGGGGGGGTACCACCTCGGGGTCTCCGAACGGCGGCGGCGGTGGCTCCGTCTCCTCGGGGTTTAGATATCCACCCGGTTCGTCGCTCTCCGATACCAACGAAGACGGCGCCACGCTCGCGTTGGAGGCTTCTGGGTCTGATCTGCGCGAGGTAGGATCTGGGGCGGTAGAGTCGGGCGCGATGTTTGCCTATTCGTCTAAGGTAGTGCCGCCGATTGACGGTTGTTTTTCAGGGAAACCGGTGGCGACGGGAGGGAGGTATCCAAGTGGTGGTGGGGGCGAACGTAGCAGTAGTCTAGCCGGGGAGAGAATTCACAGCAGAGCGCAGCGACGTGAACAGGCCGAGCACTCAATGAACGAAGAAGAAGAACGAGAAGAGCAGGCACAGCAGCAGGGCAGCGGTCGCTCAGCGAAAGGTGGCGACCAAGACAACAATAACAACATTGACGGAGGCAAACTGGAGGGGCCAATGAACGCCGTCGTTGCCGCATCCGTGGCCGCCCGCCGCGCCAGGGATGCGTGGGACGCCCGGGGACGGACAGAGACGCCGGTGGTTGTCGGTCGACGGCAGCCGTCATCCATGCACGAGTCCAGGCTCCAATTCAACTTCGACTCCGCTCAAACACCGTCTTCGGGGATGTCGGGCGTGGGAGTTGCGGTACCTAAGGGATACGCGGACGCAAGGTGATCACAATGTTGGGGAAGATCACCCGGTACCGACCTTGGGAGCGGGGGGGGGGGGGCTGNGGGGGGGGGGGGGGGGGGGGGGGGGGGGGGGGGGGGGGGGGGGGGGGGGGGGGGGGGGGGGGGGGGGGGGGGGGGGGGGGGGGGGGGGGGGGGGCTGAGCGGAGACTCGCCTTTGTCCCTTTCCCTAGCGTGAGCCCACGAATGGCAGGACAGAGGCGAACAGGTTGTACACGTGGTGTTGTTTGTGCGTGCGAGAAGATCACTGGGACACATCGCTCTGCCGAAATGCCGACAAATGAAATGCAGTGGTAAGGAGGGAGCTCGTCCCTCCCCCCCCCCCCTACGCAGCTTGCACGTGTCGTCGGTGAGAGGCAACTTTGTCGGTGCCGGCACCTCTGCTTTCCTTTTCCTCCTCTTGCAAACAGACTCCGGGCGGCCAAACGGAGCTTTACGCCGAGCACGTCGCTGAGAAAGATAGCCAAGCGTCGATTCATCCCGCGGGGTGGGACTTTGAACGAACAAAAAGCCACCGTGGCAGATGCCGCAGCGCAGATGAGGGCCGGAGCAGGACCCGCCGACCGACAGGAAGAGTCGGAGACCGCCGGGAACGTCGCGGCAGAGGTTTACCCGACGGGGCTCGTCGTGACTAAGCACTTCCGGGAGTCCTCCACCGGTCGTGAAATCCTGATGCTCGAGGTCGACAAGGTGGGGAGCGACGTCTTAGGCGCAGGTATCGAGCGATCGGCAGTTACACACTCCGACCCATGGATGCATGTTTTATCCTGCTGTGTCTATTTCGTTGTGATGCTACAAGAGGATTGCTTGGCACGAAGCCGGACCCCATGCTGTACAGCACACGACGACGCGGTGAGGGCCGTGTACCCTAGCTAGTGCTGCCGGCCTTTGCTTGACCATAGGCCGCACCCATGCTACAAAGCCCCCCCCCGAAACGCTATTCTATTGTCTTCTAGGCAGCAGACCGGCGAAGCCTTTGGGCCGGAGACGCCGGTGCCCTGTCACAACCGTTGACTTTCGGCGGGCGCCAGGGAGTGGCAGCGGGCGAAGGCGTGGGGCTTGACGAAACAGCCGCCGCCGCCGCCGCCGCTGCCGCCGCCGCTGCCGCCGCCGCTTCTGCTGCTGCTGCAGAGCTGGCTTCGCTGTCACCGCGCTCGAAGAGGCTGCGAGAGGTCTTCCAAACGCTGGCGGCTGGGCGGGACGTGCTGACGCAAGAAGCGTTGGTGAAGTGGGACTACGTGGCGCGGTCCATAGAACGAGGGCTAGTGTCCCAGTACCAGGTGATGTGCGATGCGGTCCAGTTCGTCTAACGTGGTAACTAGTGGTAACCCCAAGAGCCGCGTGGTCACTTTTGTCGGAGGTGTGCCACTAACAGAGGGTGATGGCTATCATAGTTTTCCAACCACGGTAGCGGCGAGCGCGAACGTGCACCGTACAGGTCACACTCTCTTGCTCGTGACTGACGAGCGAGACTACCTTTGTGTAAATACCTATCGCCCGCGCGCAACATGAAACCTTAGGTGAGGTCTCTCTTTCGCCAAGCGCACGGCGGTCGGCATAGGGGCAAGATGGAATGGCGGGACATGATCGCTTTCTACGAAGGAATGGAGGTGAACGCGAACATAGACCGTTCAGAATCAATTGTAGAATGTTTTGTCTCCTGGAGTACGAGGACCGTGCACCCTCGTCTGCACTGCTTGCACTTGACGGCGAATAGCTTGGTTCAAGATTCACTCGTGAGGGCTAGAAAAGAGCGAGAAGCGCCTTCCATGGTCCCGAGAGACACATATAGGCCGTGCTGCCTGCCCACCTCCACAAGGCCGACCCCCGTTACAGGGTACAGCAGTATTTGTCCCCAATTTCTCTGAGCCCCGCCCTTGTTTATCCCCATGTGTGTTGTCGCCGCTTTCGTGGTCCAATGCCATATGCCAATAGTCTGCCCTTGACAAGGCCTGCGCCCCGCCCTTGGTGGAGGAGTTCGTCATCGACTCCGTAGAGTGGGACCGCGTGTCAGCCTCGCTGTACCTCACCAAGCGCGGCGAGGTGTACGTCGTCGCCGTCGAAGCAGGTGCCGGCAGCGGCCACGGCACCCCTCCGTCACCGGCGACGGTCCGACTGGGTGGTGACGGCGACGGAGCCTCTCGTGGCGGCGGGTGCACGCAGGCCGTGGCTGGGTCGGCGTCGGCCACCGTTGCTAACCCGGACGTCCCCGCGCGACTCACGTTGTCTGGCCTTTCCCCCGAGCGGGACTACCTGCTGTACGCGTACGGGGAGAACAGCGTCGGCGGCCGGTTGGGGGCCGGGTTCAGGGGCGACGGCTGCCATGGCGGGGACGCCACTACCAGCGGCGTGTTCTCCATGGAGCCGGCTCCGTCGGGCATGTCAGCGGCGCTCGTAGCGGCGACTCGGCTAGAAGCCAGGACGGAGCGAGAGCCCGACGAAGAGCTGGACGTCCCCTGGAAGGACCTCTCTGAGTCGGAGCAGATTGCGGAGGCGCTGGCGGCGCTGATGGACCCCGTCGTGGCGCGCGCGGCGAGGGAAGCGGCGCTGGACCCGCCGACGGCGGAAGACCTCGCGCCGGGGAGGTGCGCGGCAAATCCCGTGTCGAGGAACAAGTGGCGGTCGTTCTGCCGGTGGTGGGCGACGGCCGGGGGCAGCAACGGGGGGGGAGCTGCCGGCGGGGGGGGCACCGAAAGGTCTGCATTTCTGCTGAGGGAGTGCGTCTTTGCAGCTCAACAGCCGGAGGTGGGTGAGGAGGATTGGATTTCGGGGATGTGGGGGGGGGGGGGGGGGGGGGGGGGGGGGGGGGCGGGCGAGAGACAAGCGTGCGTTTGTGGTCTGCCGAGAACACTTTGTTGCTGAATGGCCTACGCATGACACTAAAGTTTGAAATACGATCAGGGAAAACATGAAATTTGAAGTTACGCTCCGATACAAACTCACGGGAGCCGAACGTTTTATCTTAAAGATCTCTCGAGGTCACCTCAACGAAGAGGAACAAGTGCCAACCCCGTATCTCACGTTCGAATAAAACCGCAGATTCTGGAAGAAGCCGCCATGATGGGGGTCCAGATCCTGGAAGGTGACTGGAACGCCGAGGTTGAGGTGGCGGCAAGCGGGGGGAGTATCAACCCGAACAAGAACCCCTCCGCTCGGCAACGCCGCTGGACCGCGTTCCGATCCTGGTACCGGGGAGGGCGGGTGTTCGACAGGGCCGACGAGACGCTAATCACCGCCGCCATGCTGCGCCGGCCGCCGTCCCCGGGGTCGCAGGGCCGGCCCCTCACCCCGCGCCTGACGCCCGCCGACGGACCTCGTCCCGCCGCTCCGACCACATTCGGAGAGGAAGAAGTCTCCGCTACACCAACGACGGCGGTCGACAAGAGTGGCGACGGAAACGAGCAAGTAGAAACGGCCGCCGCCGCCGCCTCCCTGGAACCCACCGACGGCGCGCGAGCCGAGGTGGAAAAGACAACGGCGGCGGTGGACAAGGGCACGGTACCGGGGCCCGTTACGCCATTAGCGGGAATTATGCGCGGGCGAAAGACTACGCCGCCGGCGCCGCCAGAACCACCGGGAGGGGGAGGAGCAGGGTCGACGTTGCACGTGACGCTGCTGAACACCGACCAGGCAAAGCGAGCACGGACGTCCAGCACGGACGATGGGGCTGCTACCGCCGACGGCTCCGTAGAGGACGGATGTGCCGCGACGGAGGTCCTCCGGGAACAACAAGACCATGGCATTGACACCGCTCGCCTGGCGGGTATTGCCGGATGGGACGCAAGAGAAGACGAGGTGCAGGCAGACGAGGAAGCGGCGGGGGCCTTCAGGCTCGAGTTTGAGGGCGACGAACAGGGTGACGGTCTTGACGGTGGTGGAGCAACAGCCATGCCGACGACGTCCCGCGAGGGCGGGACTGCCGCCGCGAAACGGCTGCGGATGGAGGCCCGCCGAAAGTTTCTGGCGGCAAGAACGGTCACTTCCACGCAGGCGGCAAGCAAGGCGAGAACAGAAACGGTCATTTCTACGCGCAAATCGAAAGTTCACTTTCCCTCCAGCCTAACCCCTCCCTCCAGCCTAACCCCCTCAAGTGCACTCTACCCCCCGCCCCACCCATTTCCCACCCCAAAAACATGCTCGCAGATCGCAATCTGTAGGATCAGCTGCCGTTTGCACACGCCCCGTCCCCCGGCAAGTCTTCCCTCAATACCTCTCCGTCCATGCAAAGCCGAACCGAAAACCTTACTTGAGCATCCTCCCGAATCATTTCTTTCTCTCGGAAGTGTAGGTCGGCCGGCTTCTGGACGTGAAGCGGGAGGACGTCAAGGCGAAGCGGGCGGCGGAGGCCGCCTCGGGGGTGGTTGCGCGCCGCGGGAGGGCGGCGGCGGCGGCGAAGAAGCGGCGGCGCAGCCAGGTGGAGAAGGCCCTGGCGCTCAAGAAGGCCGATGAGCTCCTCGAGGAGTCCGGAAAAGCCGAAGACATTAGGCAGCGGCGGGGGTCGCTGGGAACGCTGCGACCCGAAGACGTGAGTGGGGTGGGGTGGGGTGGTGGGGAGCTGGGGAGAGAGAGAGAGAGGGAGAGAGAGAGAGAGAGAGAGAGAGAGA